ATAACTCTTACTGCATGTTATGCTTCTGCCCCCCAGTGGTACAAAGGCAGTTACAAGTAAGTCAAAGAAAAGTTTTGTTTTTTTTCAACATGATGCTGCTTGCTCCATATCAGAATAAGTGGTTAATTTATTTTCTGAGAACTACATTTTCTGTTTCAACAAAACAGCTTAAAACTTAAATGCGTAAATGTGCAGATTTCAGTAACAACTTGCATTAATATACCAACATTAATATTGTTAAACATTCGAAGGTGCTTCTGAAAGGCTAAATAAAAGAGAAATAGCACTCAGCCCAAGCAGATACACGAAGGTGTGGCAAAGTTTTATCAGCAAGGTAAGTTTTAAGGAAGATATTAAAGAAGGAATACAAGTGGAGAAATTTAGTGAGGGAATTCCAGAGCATTGGACCTGGGTGATCTTAAAACTCAGCTATCAGTGATGGAGGGAGGGGAGGATGCTCAAGGAAATGGAGAATTCAGGGAGGGTGCTCTAGGCCCACAGAAGGTTACAGAAGGGGTATGGAAGATGTCTGGTTGTGTGAGGGATGAAAACTAAGGGCTCTAACTGCAAAGAGAAGAACTGGGCTGATGTGCCAGCAAAAGGAGGTGGACATTTGTACTTTACCTCCCCGCTGCTCACTCATCTCAATTTGCACTTCAGGAGAGGCATAATTGAAAAACAAAGCACTAAGCCCATTAACAATGAAACTCCTCAATTACATTTTTATCACTTTCAAGCTCAAATATTCCAATGCTGCCCTGACTAGCCTTTCAACTTCTACAGTCTTCCAAGTGACATGTTTGTCCAAACTAATACAAACTAAAACAAAGACAAAGTGCTGGAGAAACTCAGTGGGTCTAGCAGCATCTATAGAGAGAAAGATAGAGTTAACTTTTTGAGTCCAGCAATCCTTTATCTGAACTGAAAACAGCTGGAAAAGGTGGCAATATATTGTAAAAAATGTGGGTGCTTCATCAGAATTGAAAACCTGTTAGTAGATCTCTTAATAGGGTGAACAAAATGGCGGGGTGGTGCCGAGGCAAGGGGAGTAAAACAGAGTATTACAGCTAACCGGCACTTACCATATAGGTGTATTTTAAAGGGTATGCTGTAATCAATGTTCCGTCTACCACTTCAAGTTTCTGCATCTAACAATTGGTGTCCGCACTGATTGGACAAGACTGCATCTCAGGGCTGCTTGTTTACTTTCCTAGCACTTGTAGCATCTGATACCAGTCCAGGGTTTAGCCACAGTCAGACATCCGGTTGGGGTGATTTTGGTTAGGGGTCCACACCTCTGAAGTCCAGGGAGTTGGTCATGGTTCAATCAGTCTGGGGGATAGGGCTGTGATCTGGGAAATATACAGGCATCCACCAGGGATCTGAGCACTTGTTGTCTAGGGATGTCCGTTTAGGCCACTGAAAGGGGTGGGCCAGTCTATCTGGTCAATTCAGAAAAACTAATGGGTACCCAAGGTGGGTGAGGACTGAACAAGGTTTGGCTGTGGGAAGGAGATTCAGGAACTTACTTATGGGGATTGCAGGCTGCAAACTGCAGGGAACGGGGCATGAGTATTTATAAGGGGATGTTACAGTAAAGCATGGATAGGAATGGGGTAATGAGGTAGCAGAGTATGTTTGTCCATGGTTGGGAGGCCCTGGCATCTGGGGGACACAATGTATGAATAATTGGTATTGTCACCTCATGTGCCAGAGACTAGGGAGGAAAGGTGGGCAGGTGAAGGCTCACATTAACAGATTGATGAGGTCCTGGGGAGTTGCAAAGCTATGGGATTTATGAGATGGTCTATCAGGAAAGGGATCTAGCTGGTCTCACCAACATATAGAGCATTTACTGTCACCATCCATCATGCTGGAAATTGAAAGTAGGTAGTGGAATGGAAAGTGACCACATCCAGGATGGATGGGGTAAGTGTCCTGACCTGTGGGATCCCTAACCCCTCGCGATTCTAATGCATTGTCTCCATGTGTGCTAAACACCTCCCAGTCCCAGACATTGCTGACTATTCATTCACACCAACAATTTTGGTCACAGAGGTCAGGGGAAAAAGTATCGATGTTTTAAAAAGAGGGGCAATGGTGCGAGCATAACCCATTATCCTAATTAAGTTTGTTTGTCTTGCATCTACTTGGGACAGCAGGCCCTCAACATAGGCATCAATGCATGGTAGATTCTGTGTAGACATGAAGTTAGCCATCATGCTGGCAGTTACATTCAGGGCTATACAGAGAGTCAAATAATCAGATAAAGTACAATAACACTCAAATTTGTATAAACGTGATACTTCATATACAGTGTACTGTCATGCCACCACCAAAAAGCCCTCAATAGGTTTTTCTATTTCTTTCCCATCCACTCCATCTTGGTGTTGTCCCAAGTTCCGTGGATGAGGCACATGGAGCCTGTTCAGTATGGGTGCTCTTTGGTCTTGGAGGTATGGTTGGCAGCACTGGTATTTGTGTCTGTACAGCCCTCTCATGCTGAAAGTTTTCTTGTCTGTGGCAAGTGGACCCTCCTTGGCTGGAACTTTCAAGGGTCAGAGGAGGGTAAGCAGGGTAGAGAGTCCAGTCCCCTCTGAAAGTGTCCTAAGATATCTAAGTGTGGTCAGGGTGCCTTCTATCTCTGCCCTGTCTTCTTGTGAGAAAGAGGCAACTGGAGTACTCACAGGTCTTCCCCTGCGACAGTCAGAACCTTCTCCTTGTAAAGCGTGAGGAGTGTGACAGGGGTATCCCTTTGCCCTCCTGGGCCTTTTCTACTCTGTTGTCAGTTGTCTTTTCCTGAAATGCAGGGAATGGAGGGACTAAATAGGCTGAAAATACGTGGCATGTTGGTGCAGGCGGTCAAAAGGTGATTAGGTGTTTTTTGCAAGTGAGCAAGCAGGACACAGGTCTTGCAGGGATAGTTTGTGGGAGGTTAGGGGGATAAGAAAGAGTGCAGGAAGATGTTGCAGGCAATAGCAACAGTGGCAGAGCATGATCTTTAGTGGGAGGTGTGTGCAATAGCAGAGATATGAGGAAGCAGAGAGAAGAGTGTAGTACTTACCCTGGTGCAGCCAAAATGATAATTGATCTTCTCACAGCACTGCTGGCCATTTCTCCGTGCCATGAAATCCTCAAACCAAGGTCAGGGTCAGGTGTCACGGCCTCCTCTGCCAGTCCTTAGGGATGAGAATGCACCTCCTCTGCAACAACCTTTCCACCAGGACCTCCAAGTCCCTGTCAAAGCATCACAGCATCATCTTCGCCTTCTCCAGTATTTTCACATTGTGTCCATCACCAGGCAGGTCATCTTCGGAAAGCCAATGATCATCTGGGTTTACAGCAGCCTTTAAATATGGTGCAGTAACCAGGGATGCTAGTCTTTTGGCAGATACCTGCTGAATGGTGAGTTGTTCTGGGAATGGCTGTGATGAAATGGGGATAGAATTGGATGAGAGGGAATGCTATAGGCGTGGGGAGGGCGGTTAATGAGGTGAACTTGGTTGGATACGACAAGAAATTCCACGGAGTCTTGCAGATTGGTTGGTTGGCAGAAAACAGACAGTATGCATAAATTTATCCTTGTCTGGAAAGATGAGTTAAATCCTGGAGAGGACTGTGGTGGGGCTTCAATTTGTTACAGTTCATATCAATGACTTAGATAAGAGGAGTGAAGATATGGTGGCTAAACTTGCAGGGAACATCAAGATAGGTAGAGAAGCATGTTGTGAAGAAGTTGAAGACATAAGGAGGTTCCAGACAGATATAGATAGGTTGAGTGAATGAGAGCGAAAATCTAAAATGTTTTGTTTTCTCTCGTGGGATTGGGCTCTGCCCAATTTACCAGCTGATCAATATCAGACTGTAGCCTGAGACATCCTCTTCACTACCAACAACACCATCAATTTTTGTGTCATCTGCAAACTTATTAATTACACCTTCCAAGAAACTTCCAAGTCATTAATGTAAATAACAGACAGCAAAGGTCCCAGCACTGAACCCTATGTTACACCTCTGGTCACAGACTTCCAATTATAAAACAACTCTTCACCATCACTCTTTGCCTTCTATTTGTAAGGCAATTTTGGATCCAGTTTGCCAACTTGCCTTGGATCCCATGGGTAATAACCTTTTGGAGCAGCTTTCCATGTGGGATCTTGTCAAAGCTGATGTATATCACATCAACTGCATTATCCTCATCAATATATTTAGTCACCTTTTCAAAAATCTCAATAGTCAGACAAGACCATCCTCTCTCAAATCTGTGCTGACTATTCCTGATCATTCTCTGCCTTTCCAAGTACTGATTAATCCTGTCCGTCAAACTTTATCCAATAATTTTCCTACCACTGACGTCAGACTAACTGGTATGTAATTACCTGGCCTTTCCTGCTGCCTTTGTTGAACAAGGGACCATGTTAGCTATCCTCTAGTCATTTGGCATTTCACCTGTAACCAGAAAACTATTAAATATATCCATCAGGGCACTCCCAATCTCCTCCCTTGCCTCCCATTGCAGCCTGAGATGCATCTCATCAGGCCCTGTGGATTTATGCACCTATATGCCCACTAAAACATCCAATGCCTCCTCTTTATTGATCTTAATATGTTCTCGAACTTCACTATCCCAACTGAAATCCCTGGCCACAAAGTCTTTCTCCTCTGTGAACACGCATGAGAAGTATTTATTTAAGACCTCACCCACATCATAGCCTCCACAAATAGGTTGCCCCTTTTGATCTCAAATAGATCCGACCCTTTCCCTGATAATCCTCTTACTGTCAATATACATATAAAAATCCTTGGAGATTTTCTTGATCCCATCTGCCAAAAATATTTCATGGCTACTTTTTGCTCTCCCGTTTTGTAAATAATCCTGAATAGTCTTGACACGGTGATGTAGAAAGGATGTTTCATCTTGTGGGTCAGTTTAAAGGCCATTTTAAAGTTAGAATTTGACCTTTTATGATAACAATGAGGAGGATTTTTTTTCCTCGCAGCGGACTGTGCGATCTAGGAGCTCTCTGCCTCAGAATGTGGTGAAAATGGGATCACAAGACTTTTTATAAGTGGAGATAGATTCCTTTTCGGGAAGGTTACTAGAGGTAGGTGAGAATGTGAAATTCAAAGCATAGATAGATCCATTATGATCTTGTTGAATGGTGGAGCAGGCTCAGGAAGCAAATGAGCTATTCCTGCTTCATGTTCCTAGATTCTTCACCAGGTTGAGGTTCACGAATCAGCTTCTTAAAAGTGCAGAAATAATTTCAGGTAACTATAGGAAAATGACAGAGGATTTTCTGCTGAAAGTTGTAATCTTGACTAATGATCTGTTGACATAAATTAAAACCCCACCATGTAGCTGAGGATTTTAAGTTCAGTTAGTTAGATAATTATGCATTAAAAGCTAATACCAACAATGCCACACAGATAGCTCCTAAATTGTCCTAAAAACTTATCTGATGCACTAATGTCCTTTAGAGAAATAAGTCTGTCATCCTACCTGATTGATCGTACCTAAGTATGTGACTCCATACGTACTGCAGTGTGGCCTCTGAAAGCCACTCAGTTGTCAAAAAGGTGACATGCCACAATTTTGTTAATGGCAGATGAGCAGTAAATACTGGCTTTGCCGACATTCATGAATGATTACTTTTTTTAAGGGTGCCCTAATGGGACTGTGGGCTGATTAGCTCAGTTATCTAGATGCCTAGTACATGGCTCAGAATAATACCAATAGCATGTGTTTGATTCCCATTCGTGTTGAAGTAGGCTTGGCACCTAAGTTCTCGCCGTGCCCCTGAAAATGTAAGGTTATGGCAAGGCAAAGCACCACAGACAACAAATGCCAAGGAAATGGCTCAGGATGAAGCATAAGTGGACAAGTCAAGAACTTTCCTTTAAGCAGAGTGCTCATGAATGAATTAATTGATAGGACTTGCAATTAATACTCAATGCTACATGATAGTTATAGTAAGAACTGCCGATGCTGGAGTTAGAGATAACACAGTGTGGAGCTGGAGGAACACAGCAGGCCAGGCAGCATCAGAGGAGTAGGAAAGTTGACGTTTCGGGTCGGGACCCTTGGGTCCTCTGATGTTGCCTGGCCTGCTGTGTTCCTGTAGCTCCACACTGTGTTATCTCTTGCTACATGATACTTCAGTAATTCATATTTGGAATATTGTATCCAAATTTGTTTGTTACATTTGGCAAAAATATGGCACACAGTTGGCCAGTTAAATCTTAATTATTTGGATAAGATTCAAGGTGTGTTGTTATTTACTTTGGAAATATACATAATGGATATTAATAAATGGTGAAGCATCAGATGCCAATCAGTTAGGTACAATATTGGAAAAAAATATGGATAGTAGAACTAAATGTCACACATTAAAAACTTTAGGTGAAGATCTAGTTTGTAAGTTACATATCTGAATCCTAGTTTATTTAGTTGTTTATTGTGGGTTCATTTTCAAATGTGTATGAAGTCAACTGACACGGATCATATGCGTATAGAGCAATGGAATAAAAGGAGAATCTTGCAAGTTGTTAAACACATGACAAATGTTAAGATGCACTATTCCGTCTAAATATTTTTCTACATTTTATTTTTAATTACTCACTTTTGAAAAATGTCAGCAGTTTTACTTGCAGGTCTCTCTGGACTTGTATTTTACATAAATTATATTGTTCCATTTTAATGGTTCATGCTTTGAAATGGATGTTCATCTATTTTATTTGTATCCCACTAAATACTGGTGTTGATTAGTCAATTTTGGAAAGGTAGGAGTTCTAATTGAAATGATGGGTAATATTTTATCATCCCACCTTCTTGGCAGGGAAGACATTTAATCAGGCAGGAAGGTGGAAGGTCTTCCCTGATAAAGTCTTGGCGGCATGATGGTTCAGTATTTACTTCTGCCGCCTCACAGCGCCAGGGATCTGGGTTCAATTTCAGCCTTGAATGACTGTCTGTGTGGAGCTTGCATGTCACACCGGTTGTCTGCATGAGTTTCCTTTGGGTGCTCTGGTTTCCTCCCACAGTCCAAAGATGTGCAGGTTAGGTGGATTGGCTGTGCTAAATTGCCCCATAGCATCCAGAGATGTGTAAGCGAGATGGGCTAGCCATGGTAAATGTAGGGTTATGGGGATAGGGCAGGGTAGGATGGTCTTCAGAGACCAAATGGCCTCTTTCCACACTGTTGGGATTCTATGATTCCATGGTGGAAAGTTTTGAGAATGGCCTTCCTGACCCACTGTCAGATGAACTTCTTAAGTGGCAAATTAATGCCCACTTAATGGCATCTTCTTACTACCACTGGTATTAAGCCAACGGTGAGCAAGCTCATCAACACACTGGGAACACGACGTACAAAACTGTGCAGGTTGCCTGTGGTATCCTGGGAAGAGGGGTGTTGATGATCCCTTATTCAAAAACACTCAGTAGAAAGGGGAGGTTCTTCTGAAAGCCAACCACCCCTCACCTTTGCTGTTGTCCATCTATGCCTTGTCCTTCACAGATTGCCTGTTGTCACCACTTACTGTTAATCTGGGTTGCTGCATGATCCTAGCTTCTGGCAAGTGTCTTCATAGCAGTAGTGGTTATTGCCTTCCTGGTCACACTGCTGTCAAAGACAGCTGCTAGCTTGAGATTGTGACTTCCCACCCCAGGGTTATGATCTCATAGCAGGCCCACTAGTGACCTCTCAGTTGCATGATTTGCACATAACACTGGCAGGCTTTCCCAAGGAGACAGGGATTGTTTCTCACCAGATGTCCAGCTGGTAGCCAAGACTTTCTTTGCCTGTATTGAATTACCTCCAACGTATTTTTTGCACTGACTAGAATATTTAAATAATTGGCTTTACATCGAATTTGCAACACAGCAAGAATTGTTCTAAGCCAGAGTTGATCCTCCACACAAACCACCTCCCACTCTGACTATTCCTTTGTCCTACAGATGTGTCTTCTTATTCCCTTTTCCCTCATTTGCATCAAAGGTCCCCTTAAATGTATCGGTATTATCTATTTCAACATTCCCATGGCATGGAGTTTCACATTCTTAGCACTCTCAATGTTACGAAACTCTTATTAAATTATTTATTTGATCTATTAGATCTATCTTGGGACCAGTTAGTTAGATGGCTTGTGTTGGTTTAGAATGATACTAACCTCAAGGGTTTGATTGCTGTTCTGTCTGAGGTAAACTGGGAACTTTCCTCGTTGCCTTGTTCCTGATGATGGAATGCATTTGCAAATTACAAACCTGACAAGACAACATTTAGGATGAAGTATCAGCAGATAATAAGCCAGATATATGCCTTTGGGCAGAGCACTCATGAATGTTATATTTACGCCCAATTTGACTCACATGTGGAAACATTTTATCTACATTTGCTCTGTCAGATTCCTAATATACTTAAAGAACTGTACCAGACTTAATGTTCTGTATCTTAATCTGTATCTTAATGTTCTCCTTTCCAGAAACGGTGACCCTGCTGGTCAACACTTCCTGCTAGTCATATCCTCTCAATTCTGGTCTCATGTTTAATTATTTTTCTTTGCTTCCTCTAGTATCCTTCAGTATCCTTTCTGTAGAAGGGAGGCACTATAATCCAAGTATTGTCTTCCTGAGATTCTATTTAAATGTAAAATTACCTCCATGCTGCGAGAGTGAAAGCGAATGGTCCAGCCCTTCCGTGCCAGCAGCACACTTAGCCATTTGTTGTTGTTTAACAGTATAACAGTAGAGTTCTGAGGAAGGGTCACTGGACCTGAAACATTAACTCTGTATTTTTTCTTCACTGATGCTGCCAGACCTGCTGAGCTTTTCCAGCAACTTTGTATAACAGCACTGTAACTTCTCGGAACTAACTTAATACTAGTAACTAGTTGTTACAATTTGCTTGAAAGGGATCTGCAGGAGACTTTGCTGATGGTCCACCAGAGCATGGAAACTTGAGCTGAT